AGGGCCCTGCTCAGGCCCCTCGGCGGCCAGTGCCTGCTGCCCCCACATGCCTGGCCTGGGCCCGCACGCTCCGCTGAGGCCGCCCCGAAGGCCGGGCAGACCTGGACCAGAGCCGGCAAAGCTGCTTCTGGCCGCGGCAGGCCAGGGGCTATGGGGACAGCCCTGCCTGGGCTCCCCCTGGGATTGGGGGGGCGGGGCACCCTCGTGTGAGCAGGGCTGAGGCCCCTGCTGTCCTCACTGCGGGCGCTGGCCGGGGAGGGCTGGTGTGCGTGACCCTGCGGCCCTGCGCCTGCCCCTCTCACGGGCAGTGGAGTCCCCTCTGAGGACCTGTCCCTCCATCAGCGCCCTCCCGCCCTGTGCACCTGTCCTGCCAGAGCCTTGCTGGGTGCCAGGGCCCTGGGGTCAGGTGGCCCAGCACCCGTGGGTGTGGACCTGACCCGACAGCTGGTCCTTGCGCCTGGCCAGGGAGGCTGCTCAGTGGCCAGCCCTCAGTCGTGGGAGGAGCCCGATGAGCAGGGGGCAGCAGGCGGCAGTTGCCCACAGGCCCTGACCCGGGGCGCGGGCGGGTGCGGGCAGCGCCTCAGCCGGGCAGGGCCTACGACTGTCCCCAGAGCCGGGCCCAGAGGGCACACCCAAGAACCAAGCAGGGGGCTCTGGCTGGAGGTTGGAGGGGCCAAGGCCATGGCCATGTCCGGCTGGGGGCAGTGGTGGTGGGGCCGGACCCCAGCTTGTCAGGGCTAGTCCTGGCCAGAGTCCGCGGGCTGCGGGCAGCTGAGCCCCGGGCTGGGGCCACCGCGCAGCACCTGGCAGGCGCGAGGAGGCAAATTTAGTTAAAGGAACAGACACGGGAGATGGTTCTGAAGGAGAAAGAACAAAGAGGCCCCTCCCGGCTCCTCAGGCCCCTCAGACCTGGGGGGCGCCGCACGGTCGCCCCTCCACCTTGGCATCCCCAGGAGCCATGTGCAGGTGTACAGCCCTTATCCCAGCCCCTTCCTTCGTCCAGGAAGTCTGCTGCCCCAGTCCGGGGGTGTCTGGTCAGTCCCCCTGGAATCTGCTGCCCTGCTCTCTGGAGCCTCCCTTCGTGCTCGAGGCCTTTGCTGCTCTGTGCTGACCCTAGTTGCTGGCCCTGCCCTGCGATCCTCACAGTCGTCCACTCGGGGCTCCTCCTGCGCCCCAGGCAGGAGTGCTGGGCTGGGGGTGTGGTGGTGGGGGCACGGGATGGCCCCTGGGGTGGGCAGGACCTCCCATGGGTCAGAGGGCGGGGTGAGGCCTTGGGGGGCCGGGTGAGGCTGCGGGGGGTGCCAAGCCCGCCCCTCAGCCTGGCCTCCTGGCAATACCTCCTCTGTGTCCTGAAGGGGTTTTGACCTCAAGGACTTGGAGATTTGGAAATTTAAAGAAGGGGGCCCTGCGGTGGTCGTGCCCCTGAGCGCGTGCGGCAGTGTTGTCGACTGAAAGTGGGCAGCAAGCTTGGAGTCTAGACCTTGGGGCACCATTAAAACAAATACGGGGCCTCCCTGGTGGCACAAGGGGTTAAAATGAAGCTATCCACAGCCTCTGCTGTGCAAGTTCAATCCCCGGCCAGGGAGCTGCCCACAGGCGCAGCAGACCTCCCCTGGCTCCCCGCTGCTCCCTCAGCAGTGGGTTTCAGTGGATCCGCCTGCTCCACTCCTCACTCTGTCTCTGGGGAGTCCGCTCACCCCCCAGAACTCTGGCCTGTGCCCCAGTTCTTGTAGCATACATAAATAAATTAAAAAGAATATGTAAAAAACCAAAAAGGCGGCTCTGGCCTCGGAGACTTGGGGAAGCCTGTCCTGGACCCTGGGTGCAGGGGTCATGGGATGCAGGGATTGTGAGTTGCAAGATGGTGGGGTGCAGGGTCACAGGGTACAGGGGCCGTGGGGTGCAGGGTCATGGGGCTGTGGGATGGGGGAGGCGGGGTGTGGGGTGGGGGGGTGCAGGTGCCCAGCGCCATCGGTGTAGCGGGCAAGCTGAGCAGGTGCTGCGTGAGGGGGCGGGGGACCGGGTGTAGTGGCGGGATGGCCCGGGGCAGGTTCTCTAAGACCCTGTGCAGGCGGGTAGAGGAGGTCCCGGGGCCCTCCGTGCCTTTCTAGGGCTTTCGTCGCGCGTTTACACGCGGTGCAGCGAGCAGGCGCGCGGCGGCCGGGCGTCGGGGGGGGGAGGCCGGCAGGCCCCCCAGCCCCGGCAAGTCTTCACTCTGGGCTTCTCTGGCTTCCCTCTCCCCGTCTCTCCCTGTCTCTCCCCGTCTCTCTCCGCCTCTGCTTCTCTTGGCGACTGTCTCCACCCTGAGCGCGGCCCCCAAGGCGCGCAGCACAGCGCCCCGCAGCGTGACTCCTGCAGGTGCCCGCCGGGCGGGGCAGCCCTGTGGCGGGAGGGCAGAAAACCTGAGAACCATTTACCCTACACCGGGCCCTGACACCCCGGGTCAGTCCCCCGCTCCAGCTGGACACCCGCGCCCGAGGCCAGGAGGCTCCCTTCCAGCAGGAGGAGTGTGAGGGGCGCCTGGCCGGGCTGGCCTTCACCCGGCTCTTCCCGCTGCTGCTGGGGGTCGGCCTCTGCTCTCTGCACGTCTCCCAGTTCTTGGCTGCACTTGTGACAAATGGAAGCCTGGAATCGGGGGCATGTTTCCCTCACGCCCATCCGGAGGGCGTAAGGGGGGAGCCTGGCCAGTCAGCTGGGTGCTGGGCTGGCCTGGACTCTGGCCGCATGGCGGCTTTGGGCTGTGAGAGTCCAGGCGGACGGCCATCCTGTCCTTTTGGTGGGGGGGGGCCCAGGCACCTGCAGGGCCCCCAGCTCTTTTCCTGGCATCCCCCTCGCTAAGGCCAAACAGGTGGCCCCTCAGCTGCCCATGCCTCTGTCCCCCAGACAGGGCAGCTCCCTGGACCTCAGCCCCCAGCCTGGCCCTGCCCTCATGGCCTGTGTCCCGATGGAGGCACAGCTGGCCGTGGCCTCTGCGGGGAGGGTCCGGCCCGGCAGCAGGGCCTGTGGTCACCAGGGAGGATGGGTGGGTCATTAGGGAGAGGCAACTGCCTCTCTGGGGGCCCACTGGGAACTCCTGTGCCTCAAGCCTCTGCACCCGGCTGCCCGTTGGTTCCCACTGGCCTTGCGTGCTCAGCACCCCCACCTGAGTCGGGGAGGACATGAGGGCCAGAGGCTGGACGCTGCATGCCGGCACTGGGAGGTGGCCCCAGCGCAGGGGCTGGCCAGAGGCGCTGCAGCCTTGGAGGGAGACCAGCGTCCTGCCTGGCCCCGCAGGCCCCGCAGGCCCCTCAGTCCCGCCGTGTCTGTCTCTGGGGACTGGGCTCCAGACGTGTCCCTGCAGTTTGGGGTATGAGGCTGGAAGGACCGTGACTGCCAGCAGGAGGGGCCCATGTGCCCGGGTGCTGGCCCCTTGGCCCTTGTGCTGAAAACAAGACCCTTGGGGAGGGCAGTGGGCAGGGCCCTGCCCAGGGCAGGACTCGTGGCTGCCGTCCCAGGTGGGCGTTGGCCCAGGCCAGGCCTCCCTCCTGCCACCCCTGGGTGTCCCCTCAGGCCACAGGCTGGCTGACCTCTGCTGCCCCTGCTCCTCCAGGCCCATGACGCCCTCTCCTAGCACCGCTCCCCCACCCCAACCCCCCACCCCAGCCCTGCAGACCCCCATCATCCAGGGAGGAGCAGGGCTCCCCACACTCAGCCAGGCACCCCTGCGGCCCCAGGGTCTCCTCGGCCGCACCGCGAGTCCTGGTCCAGCTAGGAGGCCCCACCTGCAGCCTGGGCACCCGCCAGCTGGCACTCTGCCAGGCCCGGTGTTGAGAGGGCCGGGCGAGGGGCTGACCCCTGACCTCGGACGCGCTGGGGGCTGAGGTCGGGTCATTGCGGCCGGAGCGTGGGGTGGCCCTTGTCCTGTTTCCCGCGGGTGGCGCAGGCTCGGGGAGGCGTCGCGGGGCCCAGGCCTGGGGGGTCTCTGCAGTAGCCCCTGGGGTCCTGGTGCCCACCGGCAGGGGCGGAGCTGAGTGAGAGGCGGGGACAGAAGAGGCCTCGGACAGAGGGAAGCAGCGAGGCCGCGGGAGGCAGGAGCAGAGGCGCGTGGGGGACCCGGGGCTTGGAGGGGACACACGGATGGACACTCGGAAAGGACAGGCGGGGCAAGAGGGTGGGGCAGTGACAGTGGTGGCCTCTGCCTCGATTATGATTTTGCTCCTGTCCTCCCAACCCTGCGTGTCCTGTGGCCCCTGGCCGTGGGCAGCGCCGGGCCTCGGCCGTCCTGCTCTGGGCCAACTGTCCAACCGCGCTTGCCCATGGGGGTGGGGCCGGGTGCTGCTTCTCTCTGTCCCCTGCCAACTGCTCGTCCTTCCCCATATGGGCTCTGCCGCCTTGGGCAGCACAAGGTGGCGCCCACGTAGAGCGGCAGGCTTGGGGGTCTGGGTGCCCCTCACCTGCCCGACTGCTCTGCCGTGTGGTCAGCCTGTCCTGCGGCAGGCTCCCCCTGGCCTGGCCGCCTCCCTGGGTCCCCTGACCTGGGCAGCTGAGCGGGGACGGGTTTCTGGGACCCACGAGGCTGTAGCCGGCGCAGCACCCACATTCTGGCCACGGTCTCCACTGGGACCTGTGTCCACTGCTGCGCACCCCTGACCCGTCCCTGAGCCCATCGCCCAGACCCTGAGAGGCCCCTCTTGGGGTGGCCCCTCATGGCAGAGGCCCTGGAGCCGGGTCTGTGGCTGTCCAGTGCTCGCCCGCCCGCTCTGCACCTGTCTGCGGCCATGCCCCCCCGCGCCTGGCCAGACCCTGCTCTCCACTCCCCTCCCGGCAGCCTGTCCTCTCCGGGTGACAGACAGACAGGAGGACCGAGCTGCCGTGTGTGCGGCCCGTCAGGCTGTGTCCTCACAGCCCACCCACCGCGCACGCTGTGACGGCCTCCAGACCCTGGCACCCCGTCCCTACACGCGGGGGCCCCGTGGCCTGCGCACGCCGGCGGGACAGACCACACGAGTTGGCTCGCGCACACACGTTTATTCTGGGGCGGGGTGCTGGTGTGGATGGCGGGCGGGCAGCCTGGGGCCCCTGCGGTTCTGTCCCTGGGCCAACGCTCTTCACCTGGTCACTTCACCTGCGGGCGGCAGAGACGCGTGAGTGGGGGGCAGGCCCTGCCCACCCACCCACCTGCCCGGCCACCTGCCCGCCCGGCCGCTGGCCACCTTGAACAGCGTGACGGTGGTGCTGTAGAACAGGCTCAGCAGGAAGAGGACCACGAAGGTGGACGCCATGGCCGACAGGTTCTCGAAGCCCTCCTCCTCGGCGCTCACCTCCCCCTCTGTGGGACAGAGCACAGGGTCTGCTCAGCGGGTCCCCGCAGGCCCCAGCGCCCTGGCCTGAGCCCGTGTCCCTCTGCTGCGCCGTGGAGGGCTGGGCCGGGTGCGGGGGTCTGGGTGGGCTGAGCCCTGCCGCCGTGCGGGAGGCCGGGCTGGCCAGGGAACAGGCGGGGCCACCCTGTGCGGGGCAGGGAGGCAGAGGCGCGACAGGCGGGGTGGCTGGGGTGGGGCCCCGGTGAGAGCCTTGCAGAGAGGGTGGGTCGGCCGGAGCCCCTGGGCCCCGGGCCAGCACGGAGGCTGGGGTGTCTGGGCCTGAAAGCCCCTCCCAGCTTCCTTGGTGGACATGCTGTCTCCAGTGGGGGGCCCCCTGACTTATGGCCCCAGGGTGAGGGGCCTGTGGGCCAGGGCCCAGCAGGGGTGCAGGGTGGACAGACTGGGGACACTCAGTGGGGCCTGCAGGGCGGGTCTGGGGGATCCCGCCGGGTGGGGTCTTGCACCTCTATATGGGGCGGCCCGCAGGGCAAAATCCCGCAGGTGGGGCTCCTGGGAGGGGCCTCTGGGAGGCTGACTCGCCCACCTGCCCTGGCGCGGCGGCTGGGCCTGCTGGCCGGGCCTCTCTGAGGAGCAGAAGCCAGCCAGGCCCTGTGTGGGCCCCGCCCGGCTGTGTCGCACAGCCGCACCTTCAAGCAGAGACAGGTGGACAAGCGGAGGCCTGGGCAGGGAGCCTGAGGCCAGCACAGCGCAGGAGGGAGCCTGCTGGCGGGCGCAGAGTGTGGGACAGGAGTGACCATGTGCCAGGGCTGGAGCCACATGTGTGCGTGCCTGTGCATGCCCATATTTGAGCGTGTGCACATGTGTACAGGTGCCAGTGTGCCTGTGTAAGTGTGTTCCTGTGTGTGCACGTGTGCGTGTGTAAGCATGTGCACACACATGTGCCTGTGTGAGGGTGCACGTGTGCCCAGGACCACATGGGCCCGGGTTGGTGCTGTGCGTTGCCCACACACGCGCAGGTGAGCTTGTGTCTCTGGTTCCGTGTGTGTATCTGTGCGTGTGTGCATTTGTGCCCATGGCTATGTGTGAGTGCAAATGTGCACACATGGGTGCACTCGTGTTTATAAGCGTGTGCGCATGTGGATGTGAGTGCTTGTGTATCTGAATGTGTGCACATGAGTGTGCCTCTGTGCATGCAAGTTCATGCAGCTGTGTGTGTGTCTGTGTGTGATGTCAGTGCGCGTGCCTGGGCGTGTGTGTGCGTGAGCGCCTGTGCGTCTCATCTGTCCTGGGTGTGCGTGTGCCCGCCTGAATGTCCATGTCCCGCGTGCCAGCAGCTGGGGCGGCGTGGAGCGGGCTGTGTCCAGCGCTGCGCCGGGAGCGCGGGCAGCGGGGGCGGCGGGTGGCAGCGGGGGCAGAGCGGGGCGGGCGGGCGGGCGGGCGGGGGCAGCGCGGCTCAGTCAGGACCAGCGTCTTTGGGGTGGATCTTTTTATTTCTCATTTTAGCGGAAAGGGACAACGGGCCCCGCTTGGCGGCGACAGCGAGGGCCCGGGCGGGCTCAGTAGCAGGTGCCGGCCGTGTCGGACAGGACCAGGGACACGTTGTACAGGGTGGGTTTACCGGTGGACTTGTCCACAGCCTTCTCGGTGACCGAGAGCGGCAGCGCCTCGTGGGCCACCACGCAGGTGAAGACTTCGCCCGCGCTCCAGTCCTCCTCGCTCACGGTCAGCACGCTGTGGGCGAAGTAGAAGCCGGGGGCCTGGGGCTCGGGCGTCGGGGCGCTGGTCACGAACTTGTCGGGAGACACGGGCTGCCCGCGGTGCTGCCACCTCACAAACACGTCGGCGGGCGAGAAGCCGGTCACCAGGCAGGTGACGGAGGCCGAGTCCCGCAGGGCCAGCTGCTCCCGGGCCGGCGGCAGCACGTACACGGCGGGCGGGTGCTTGGCCACCTCTGTGGGCACAGGGTGGGGTCAGGGAGGGCCCGGGGTGCGAAGCGAGGGGCGCGGCCGCAGGGGGCGGGGGGTGGCTGCGGGGGGGGGGCGCCTACCCTTGGTCTTGAAGACGACCTTCTTGAGCGGGGAGGGCAGGTCCGTGTGGGTCACGGTGCACGTGAACTCCTCCCCCGACTCCCAGTCCTCCACGCACACGCTGGCCTCGCCCTCGGCCGTGAAGGTGGCGTTGGGGTGGCTGGTGGGGGTGCTGATGCGGGTCGTCAGAATCTCGCCGTTCTGGCGGGTCCAGCTGATGCTCAGGCTGTCATAGGTGGGCAGGTCTGTGACCAGGCAGGTCAGCTTGGCAGACTTGGTGAGGAAGATGCTGGCGAAGGAGGGGCCGATGGGGAAGGCCCTAATGTTGTTGGCTGGTTCTGGAGGAGAGAGTAGCCGAGTGACCGGGTGGACTCGGCTGAGCCCTGATGAGCCCCCCCGCAGCCCTGCCGGCGGGGACACTGTCCCCCTGTCTGCCCGGGGCGGCCCGTGTGGACGGGGCGGCCGCCGGACACTCACCGGTGGTGCACGTGGAGGACACGTTCTTGCGGAAGGTCAGCCCGTTGTGCTCCACCTGGCAGGTGAACACGACCAGGTTGAGCCAGTCGCTCTCTGTGATGGTCAGCTTGCTGGTGACGCTGAAGGTGGCGGGCCTCGAGCCCTGGTGCTCGGCCTCCACTGGGCCGGTGGTGAAGCCGGACTGCAGCTGCTTCCCCTCCCGCAGCCAGGACACGGCCACCTTCCTGGGGCTGAAGCCCGCGGCCTGGCAGACCAGCTGGGACATGCGCGGGCTGGTGCCGTTGCTGGAGAAGGCGTCGCGGGGCGGGATGTAGACGTCCACTTTGGGGCTCTGCGGTGCTGTTTGCTCTGGGCAAGGACACGGGTCAGCTGGGAGCCGCCCCCCCGCCCCCGGCCCCACCCGTCCGCCCGCGCGAGGCGGTGCTCACCGGGGTAGGCCACCTTCACGCTGCGGTTGCCCTTGGGGTGCTGGGCCCGGCACACCACATGGTCGTCCTTGCTCTGCAGCAGGTCCTGGGAGGACAGCAGCAGCTGGGAGGAGGCCACGTACTTGTTCCCGCTCTGCAGCGTGGGGTAGGTCCTCACGCCCTGGCTGCTCACCGCGGAGCTGTTCTTGAAGCTCCAGGAGAAGGTGATGGAGCTGGGCATGAAGTCGCGGGCCAAGCAGCCCATGGCCACCCGGCTGTTCTCAGACACGAGGCCGTCACAGGACACCAGGGGGAAGAGACTCGGGGCAGCAGGGTTCTCTGCGGGCCAGGAGAGAAGAAGGGGTGTGAGCAGGGGTCCACGCCCTGCGGGCTTGGGGCTGTGAGGGGCCACACGGCAGGCGGCTGGGGAGGCCGGGGCCGGGACACACTGCTGGGTGTGCGAGGCCACGGAGGCGCTGCCCACTCTGGCCCACTCCCAGCAGCTGGGACACAGGGCTCCTGCCGTCACACACCCGTCCCCAGCCTGTGCCCTGGTCCTCAGGCGGCAGATCAGGCCCTCAAGACCTGGGCCTCTTGGTTACCTGCTCGGCTCTGAGAGAAGTGATGGCCACAGGCCGTCCATGGGAAAAAGACCTTGGGCGGCCATGCTGGCCACCTTCTCGGCCACGAGAGCTGCTGTGTGTCTGGGGCTGGAGGGAGGGGCAGGAACCAGCAGCCTCAGCTCAGCCAGTGCAGCCCCGCGGGTCCAGAGGTCAATCCTGTGTGGGCCCTGAAGGGCCAGTGCTGCCAGCTTAGTACCCTGGGACCACAGTGGCTCTGGCCAGGAGGGCTGTCAAAGCAGGTCAGCAACAGCCGCAGCAGGACCTCAGTGAGTCCACTCCACTCTGTACCAACTCAGATCACCAAGAAACCCTCAGGCCCGGAACGCAGAGAAGCTCACCCAGCTCAACCCAACGAAACCCAACCAGTTCAGCTTACTCCGTTCATCCAGCACAGCCCAGCTCACCCAGCTCAGCCCAGATCAACCCGACCAGGCTCAGCCCACCCAGCTCAGCCCACCCAGCTCAGCTCACCCAGCTCAGCTCACCCAGCTCAGCTCACCCAGCTCAGTTCAGCTCAGCTCACCCAGCTCAGCCCATCCAGCTCAGCTCAGCTCAGCCCAGTTCAGCTCACCCAGCCCAGCTCAGCCCAGCTCAGCTCACCGAGCTCAGCTCACCCAGCTCAGTTCACCAAGCTCAGCCCATCCAGTTCAGCCCAGCTCAGTCCAGCTCAGCCCAGCTCAGCCCAGCCCAGCTCAGCCCAGCTCAGCCCAGCTCAGCCCAGCCCAGCTGAGCCCAGCTCAGCCCAGCTCAGCTCACCCAGCTCACCCAGCTCAGCTCACCCAGCTCAGTCCAGCTCAGCCCAGCTCAGCCCAGCCCAGCTCAGCCCAGCTCAGCCTAGCTCAGCTCACCCAGCTCAGCTCACCCAGCTCAGCCCACCTCAGCCCAGCTCAGCTCAGCTCAGCTCACCCAGCCCAGCTCAGCCCAGCTCAGCTCACCCAGCTCAGCCCAGCTCAGCCCACCTCAGCCCAGCTCAGCCCACCTCAGCCCAGCTCAGCTCACCCAGCTCAGCCCAGCTCAGCTCACCCAGCCCAGCTCAGCCCAGCTCTGCCCACCCTGCTCAGCCCAGCTCAGCCCAGCTCAGCCCAGCTCAGCTCACCCAGCTCAGCTCACCCAGCTCAGCCCACCTCAGCCCAGCTCAGCCCAGCTCAGCCCAGCTCAGCCCACCTCAGCCCAGCTCAGCTCACCCAGCCCAGCTCAGCCCAGCTCTGCCCACCCTGCTCAGCCCAGCTCAGCCCAGCTCAGCCCAGCTCAGCTCACCCAGCTCAGCCCAGCTCAGCTCAGCTCAGCTCACCCAACTCAGCCCAGCTCAGCCAGCTCAGCTCACCCAGCTCAGCCCAGCTCAGCCCACCCAGCTCAGCTCACCCAGCTCAGCCCACCTCAGCCCAGCTCAGCCCAGCTCAGCCCAGCTCAGCCCAGCTCACCCTGCTCAGCTCACCCAGCCCAGCTCAGCCCAGCTCAGCTCACCCAGCTCAGCTCACCCAGCTCAGCTCACCCAGCTCAGCTCACCCAGCTCAGCCCACCTCAGCCCAGCTCAGCCCAGCTCAGCCCACCTCAGCCCACCTCAGCCCAGCTCAGCTCACCCAGCTCAACCCAGCTCAGCTCACCCAGCCCAGCTCAGCCCAGCTCAGCTCACCCAGCTCAGCCCACCCAGCTCAGCTCACCCAGCTCAGCCCACCCAGCTCAGCTCACCCAGCTCAGCCCACCCAGCTCAGCCCACCCAGCTCAGCTCACCCAGCTCACCCAGCTCAGCCCATCCAGCTCAGGCCACCTCAGCCCAGCTCAGCGCACCCAGCCCAGCTCAGCCCAGCTCAGCTCACCCAGCTAAGCCCATATCAACACCACCCAGCTCAGCCCACCCAGCTCAGCTCACCCAGCTCAGCCCAGCTCAGCCCAGCTCAGCTCAGCCCAGCTCAGCTCACCCAGCTCACCCCAGCTCAGCCCAGCTCAGCTCACCCAGCTCAGCTCACCCAGCTCACCCAGCTAGCCCAGCTCAGCTCACCCAGCTCACCCAGCTCAGCTCACCCAGCTCAGCTCACCCAGCTCAGCCCAGCTCAGCTCACCCAGCTCAGCTCACCCAGCTCAGCCCAGCTCAGCCCAGCTCAGCCCAGCTCAGCCCAGCTCAGCTCACCCAGCTCAGCTCACCCAGCTCACCCAGCTCGCCCAGCTCAGCTCACCCAGCTCACCCAGCTCAGCTCACCCAGCTCAGCTCACCCAGCTCAGCTCACCCAGCTCAGCCCAGCTCAGCTCACCCAGCTCAGCTCACCCAGCTCAGCCCAGCTCAGCCCAGCTCAGCCCAGCTCAGCCCAGCTCAGCTCACCCAGCTCAGCTCACCCAGCTCACCCAGCTAGCCCAGCTCAGCTCACCCAGCTCACCCAGCTCAGCTCACCCAGCTCAGCTCACCCAGCTCAGCTCACCCAGCTCAGCCCAGCTCAGCTCACCCAGCTCAGCTCACCCAGCTCAGCCCAGCTCAGCTCACCCAGCTCACCCAGCTCAGCTCACCCAGCTCAGCCCAGCTCAGCTCACCCAGCTCACCCAGCTCAGCTCACCCAGCTCAGGCCAGCTCAGCTCACCCAGCTCAGCTCAGCCCAGCTCAGCCCAGCTCAGCTCACCCAGCTCAGCTCACCCAGCTCACCCAGCTAGCCCAGCTCAGCTCACCCAGCCCAGCTCAGCCCAGCTCAGCTCACCCAGCTCACCCAGCTCAGCTCACCCAGCTCAGCTCACCCAGCTCAGCTCACCCAGCTCAGCTCACCCGGTCACAGTAGCAGCTTCCTGGGCCAGCAAGCCTGGCTTTGGAGTGTTAGTCGCCTGCTGTGGGGCCTGCTTGGCTGCCCTCAGCCCTGGGTCATGTCTCCTGCAGTCCCCCAGCTCGGCCAGCCTCTCACGGGCATCCCGGGAGCCAGGCACTCTCCCCACCTGTCTCCACCCTGTGCCCCTTGCCTGTCTCCACTGGGTACCCCATTTCTGGTCCCTGACTCTAAATCACCCCTTTAGATAAAAACCGTCATCAAAAGCGACCAGCTAATGCATTTCATCAAATTTGTCACTCACCCCCGGCCTCTGTCTCAAAGCTCCCGAAGACGCGTGGCATTCCAGGCACTGCCCGGCCTAAAGCCGGCCCCGAGCTCGTCCCCTAGAGCCAGGTTTCCGGAGCCAGCTGTCAGCGGCCAGCGGCCACGGCGGGTTGCCCCCTGTGTGGGAGGCTCTCAGGGGCCAGCGGGAGCGGGGCGGCATGGGGGCAGCGCACAGACCTCACCTTCGCACGGCCCCGGCCTCAAGGGTGGGCTCTGCGGCCTGCAGAATCCCTGCAATAATCCCTCAAGTCCATTAAACGGCTGATCTGGGAGCAGTGGGTGGGTCTGGCTGCGGCCCTGAGCCCCCGGCCCCCACGGCCCCAGGCGGCCGGTGCCCCCAGTCCACCGAGTCCCCTGGCTCCCTCCGCGTCCTCTCTTAAGCCGCCAGCTCACGGCCAGGACTGCGGAGAGCCGGCCCCGAGGGCGGCCTGAGAGGTGGGGTGGGGGCCTCGCTGTCAGGACAGCGGCCCGGGGCCCCAGGGGCCAGGCCTGCGCCGGCCATTCAGAGGAATAACTAATTCCAGCCCTGATGAGCCGCCCAGGGCTGCCCCATTTCTTAAACAGTCCTATAAAAAGGAATATAAAAAGCCGCTGATAAGCCTAAATTCGAACAAATTAAAAGCTGATAAGCTAAAGTTGAAAAATTAAGTTCAAAGAGTTCTCAGAGGCGCCCCGCTGGTCCTGCTCTATTTTGGGAATGCAAATGGCCAGGTGCTGCATCCGCTGGGAACCCCCCGTGCCGGCCACAGTGGCTGGTCCTGTTTTCTTGTTCCCCAAAATAGACTGTGGGGTGAGCGCTTCCTGCCACCTGCGCTGCCCCCCACCCCCAGCTCAGCAACTCTGCAGAATCAATCAAAAAACACAAGCTCGGTTTTCTGTTGTCTAAACTCAGCCTGACTCGGGGACAAGCTGCCCCATCCGCGCCAGCACGGCCCGGGCCCAGGACACCTCCACACTCTAAGTCCCCACTGTCCTCGGCGCCGGCCGTGTCAAAGGCTCCAGTCTCTCCACCCAAACACGCCTCTGGGACCCCTCGCCCCCTGCCCCCCGGGGCCCTGACCCCCACAGAGGACGCGGCTCGGCCCCCACCCCCCCGCCCGGCGCGGCCGTCTCCCAGCCCCAGGCCCCAGGGCCCGAGAAGCACCAGAAAATGCAGAGCCCAAGGGCCGAGGCCTGAGCCCTTGTCCCCCCCGCTGCTGCCCGGGCCCCGGGGACGTGTCCCGAGAGCCAGCGGCTCAGAAACCCACAGAGCAGAAAACGGAGGCCCCGGAGCGGCCGGTCTTACCTGAGGAGACGGTGACCTGGGTGCCCTGGCCCCAGAGATACAAAGCATCGTAGTCACCATGCTGGGACCGCCGGCCTCGCCCCACAAAAACCCACACAGCCCAGCCGGCCGCGGCCCCTGACTGTCTCCAGGCCCAGCGGCCCCGGACCCCACGCTGTCCGGGAGGGCTGGACCCTTGGCCCGCTCCCTCTCCGAGCGCCGAAACCCAGACCCCGACTCCCCAACGTCCCCGAGCGGCTAGAGCCGTCGGGCTGGGGACTCACCTGAGGACACGGTGACCGCGGTCCCCTGGCCCCGTGCTGGAGCCAGCCGTCGCACCGCGGCGACTCTACCGGGACCCCGGCAAGAACCGGCCCCGACAGGCCTGTGACCCCATGACGGCGCCTGGCGGGGACCCGGGACCCCCAGACCGAGGGGACCAGAGAAGGCCCCGCTGCGGTGCCCCGGAGGGCAGCCCCCACTCCTGTCCCCGGAGCGGCGGCCCCAGCTGCTTCCCGAGCCCCCCAGGCCACCCCAGCCCCTCTAGACCTGAGACCCAGAAGCCCTCCTTGCCCCCAAATGCAGCAAAAAACCCCAGAGAGAGAGGGCAGAGGGGTTGTGAGGACTCACCTGAGGACACGGTGACCATGGTCCCCTTGCCCCAAATATCAAAGTAATCACACTGCCACGGGCCCCCTTAGGGGGCGCACAAAAACCCAGCCCACTCCCTCTCGGAGCGCCGAAACCCAGACCCCGACCCCCCACGTCCCCGAGCGGCTAGAGCCGTCGGGAGCCAGGACTCACCTGAGGACACGGTGACCATGGTCCCCTGGCCCCACAGAGCAAGGTTGTCACACTGCCACAGGCCCCCTTAGGGGGCGCACAAAAACCCAGCCTGCTGCCCCCCCGAGACCAGCCCTGAGCCTCCGTGGCTAGTCCCCAGCGGGGCTCCGGGGGGGACCCTCAGCCTCAGCGGCCGGGCGCCCCATGGATGCGGGGTCTGGACGTCGCAGAGGGGGGCACAGGGAAGCTCTCACCTGAGGACACGGTGACCGGGGTGCCTGGCCCCAGAGGTGGAGGTACCAGTACCACAGGGCCCCCTGGCCGCGGCTCCCAGACCAAAACACCCCGTCTGAGGCCTGTGCCTGCTCCGGACACCGACGCCCCAGCCCCGGGCTCCCGCCAGTGGGCTCGGGACCCTGCAGCCCCCCAGGAGGCGAGACCGCCCGCGCACTGCCCGCAGGCCCGTCCTCTGACAGCGCGAGCCCGCCCCAGGCCCGCGGGGATTTTGTAGGGCGGGCAGTCACTGTGCCCACCCAGTAGCACAGCGGTTGTGGGCTCAGCCAAAACCCCGGGCCGTGGCCCGGAGGCGGGGCCGGCGGGGGACAGGCCTGCCCTCCCCCACCCCGCCGGTGGCTGGCACCACAGCGCCCCGCCTGCTCCCTTCAGAAATAGGAGCAGGATCCGGCCCGGCCCACCCCAGGCTGCTCAGCGGGCGCCGTGGCCGGCTCCTCCCAGGCTCTGTCCAGGGCGCCGGGGTCTTGGCTCTTGACCTCCGGCCGGAGCGCGGGTGCAAGGGGAGGGGCGGATGTCAAAGGAGAGGGTGCCCAGGCCACTCAGGCTGCTCCCCCAACCCTGGGGGCCCGGCAGGGGTGGGGCGGTCCCCCCGTCAGACCTGGGGACAGCACTGGGCTGGCGCCTGGGGGCCTGGGGGGCAGCGGACAGTGTGCCGAGCAGTCCATATGCGCGTGCATGTGTGCACGCCTGTGCCTGAGTGTGAGCACGACTGTGCCCGTGCATGTGTGTGAGCATGTGCCCATGTACGCATGCGTGTGCCCATCCAGGCGGAGGAGAAGCTGGGCCGTGCCGGTCGCCACAGGCCTGGGCCGGCAGGTGCGCGAGGCCGTGGCCCGTGGAGGGGCCTGCGGTGGGGCCCGCGGTGGGCGGGGGAGCCAGGCTCCCTGCAGAAGCTGCCTCTGGCACTGTCCGAGGAGGGGTGGTGTGGAGGCCGGGGGTGTCGGGAGCGGGGCTGGGCAGGCGGGCAGCGGGGCGGGCAGCAGGCTTTGCCCACCCAGCAGTGGGGACAAGGCTGGAGCCCCAGGACTGGGTCCTGGGGAGATGGGGGACCACCTGGAGCTGCCGCTGGGCAGGGGCGGGGTGTCTGCAGGGAGGGTCGGGAGCTCCCTGCTCGTCAGGACCTGCGGCCAGCCGCTTCTGAAAGCATCGGGCGGGGGGGGGGGGTCCCTGCTGCGTGGGGGTGTCCCCACCCCCCTTCAGTCAATGCCACTTCTTGCCTTTGTCTCAGCCCCAGCCCCCAGGATGCGTAGAAATAACAGGTCCCCTTCCCCACGGGGGCAGGACCTGGCCGTCTCCCCAGGGTGCTGGTCTCAGAGGAAGCTTTGCTTTCCGATTCTAGCCCTGGCCCCTGGTCCCTGGTCCCTGGCCCCTCGTGTTTGGCTTGGGACTGCGTTTGGGCCTGGCCTGAGGGCTGTGGGCCTCTGGCCCCCCAGCACTCAGGGGCTTTCTCTGTGGATTTAGGGGTGCCAGCAGGCGTCAGGGTGGGCAGGGGTGGGGCGCGGGCAGTGGGTGAGGCGCCCTGCTCTCCTCCCCACTGTGCGGTGTGGTCTGGGGGGGCGTGAGCTCAGCGCTGCACCCTCCCAGATGACCCTAGGACACCCCCCACAACCCCCCCCACGCCTCCCCCTCCCCGCCACAGCTTCCCCCTGTTCCCGCTGCCGCAGCCCGAGTCGGGGTGCATCTGGCTGAGAATTCAGCCCCCTGTGGGCAGGGCTGGGCCAAGCTGGATAAGGGAGTGGCTGAGGCTGCCTGGGGGTGAGGCTGCGAGATGAGCGCCCCCCAGACGCCTGCCTGCTGTGTGGAGGGGGCGCCCGTGAGGCCTCGCTCCTGCGCTAACCCCGCACGGTTTCTGCCACTCGTGTCCTTGAGCCCAGGAACCGCCCAGCGGGTGCAGCATCGCGACCCTCGGTCCCCGGAAGACCTGGCCCCTCGGCCTGCCAGGCCCGCCCTCCCGGACGCGCGGACGGGAAGTGCTGACCCTGCGCCTCCCCGAGCCGTCTCTGCAAGCATCCTCGAAAGGGCCTCCCCAGAGGCGCAGCGGGTTGAGCGCCGCGCTGTGAAGCTGCCGCAGCCTCTGCAGCGCTGGTTCGATCCCCAGCCACGGGCGAGGGTCCCACATGGCGCGCAGACCTCTCCTGCCGCGCCCGCCGCTCCCCTCAGCAGTGTCCTCCGTCAGTCTGCCTGCTCTGTTCCCCGCTCTGGCTCTGGTGGATCCTCTCACCCTCCCGCGCATCTGGCCTGTGCCCTGGCTCTTGTATAAAAATAAATAAATCTTAAAAAAAAAAAGAATCCTTGAAAAAGCGAGGTGTGCCCCCGCCGCCGGCGTAGACGCGCCTTCCGAGCCTCTGTGGCGGCTCCAGCCCTCAGTAAACCACCGACTCAGCTCGGCTCATCTACACGGCAACAACACGCTTTCCTACCTTCATCAAAAAGGGAGTTTCCAGTAAGCGCGTGTGCATTTTGTTTCTGCGCAAATTCTGAGGATGCTGCTGGGGATGCTGGGGGGTGGGGCATGGCTCTCCTCCCCGCCCCCCGCAGCGTGACCCCCGTGCGTGATCCCTCTGCAGCCCCAGCCCAGCCCAGCCCCGCAGCCCCCACCAGTGCCTCTTGAGCAGCGCCCCGAGGCCCCAGCCCGGCCCGTGCCTGCCGGCCGCCTGCCCTCCAACACAGGTCTGGGTGCTGCCCCGAGTGGGCATGGGTGCGCACGTGCACATGGACACGTCCCTGCTCTGGGCTCCTCCCCCACGGCCGGGTCTCGGGTTGGCACAGGCAGCACGTCCCACGGGGGGCTGAGCACAGGCATAGGCCCGGAATGAGGTGGCCCCTGAGGGCCGGCGGCTTTACACCGTCCACACCGCGCCTCCAGCCCTCCCCCTGGCCTGAACTCATGTCTGTGCCTGTTGGACATGAGGGACCTGGACCACTGAGAACGCTGGGTTTGGTTCGGTCAGGCATTCGGGGCGGCCGAAGGACAGGCCAGGTGTGGGGCAGCCTCAGCATTGGCATCACGGGCTGCCCAGTGTCCACGAGGCTGCGGGTGTCCACGGGCCCTCACTCAGCCTGTTGCTCACTAGCCATGCACTTTGTTCATTTTGATGGTGACTGAATCGAGTGTCTTTGTACACGCTGCTCTGGACATGTTCTGGGCGGGCTAAGAAGCTTCCGGTACACTGGACGTTTTCTGGGTCCCTGCCTGTGGTGCGACTGAGGGGTGTCGCCTGGAGTCTGCCCCCCAGAGCCCAGGGGGTATGGTGCGATTAGTGTCCATGCGCATGTGCATACTCATGCCCACACGTGCCCGTGTGCGTTCTCACGTTGTGTGCAAGGGTGTCATGTTAGGTGCCCGTGTGTGCCCATATATGCACACATGTGAGTGTGCAGGGAGGTGAGGAGCAGGAGGCAACATGTGCTGGTGTACACATGAGCAATGCACAAGTGTGTGCACCTGCATACAGGTGCTGGTGTGTGGCATGCCGGTGCACATGTGGAGACACACCCATGTATGTTTCCAGTCTCTGCGTGCCCATGTGTCCAGGTACTTGCAGGTGCGTACGCAGTAGTGTGAACTCTGGGGCTGCTGTGTGCACATAGAACACACCTGGTTGTGTGTGCATGTGTGCATAGAATACACCTGGGTACATGTGCATATGTGTGCATAGTATACACCTGGGTGCGTGTTCTCATGTGTGTGCACGGCTGTGCATGTGCAAATGCATGTGATACCCATCACGCGTGCTGGCCTTCTGGAGGCCTGTGTGGCTGCCCCCTGAGTGCATTTGGCGATGCAGGGCCCCCCACAGGACCTTCCAGCTCACACGTGTGGGGGGCCTGAGGGCCCCAGGGGGGACTGTGGGATTTTCTGAGAACAAGGAGCCATTGGAGGGTCCCAGCAGGGATGTGGGGGGTGGGAAGGCGGTCTTCCGGCTGCGGGAGAGTGGACATGGGACAGCGGGCTGTGCTGTGTGGCTCCCGGCGGGCTGTGGGAGGTGTGGCTGGGCAGAGTGCCGGCCTGGGCCTCGGGTGTGGCCTCGGGGGGCCCAGTGGGCGGGGTGGAAGGGGGCTCTGACGCAGGGTGGGGGGCATCCCATCCAGCCTGGCTTGGACGAGAGCGTGCCCACCGGGGTCATCGGCATGCAATCGGTAATAAGCCAGAGTGAGATCATCTCTGGCTGGACACAGGTGGGGAGGACGGAAGGCCAGCGCCGCCCTGGACGCAGCACGGTCAGCAGCCAGGACAGGGCACGGCCAGGGAGCGCACGCCTCAGAGCCTGAGGACTCGCCAGAGGAGGGGTCACTTGTCTGCCACTCGGGGACCTGGGCGCCCGGGTCACTCACCAAAGCGCGGCTGGCTGGGACCTGACTGATCTCGGACTCAGACACTCTGGCTGCAGGTGTCTGTTCCGAAAAACTCGCCAGGCTCCCCAGAGTGTTCGGGGGGCCTGCCGGCCAGCGGCCCAAGCCTGCCTCGCCACCCCGTGTCTGAGATCGGGAACTGTTCCCGAGCCCATGTGCCCGCCGGCCAGCAGGACGACCCGGCCACACGTCACCCTGGCCACCAGGCCAGGTGCCAGCGGTCAAGGCCGT